CTACCGGCTAACTCTCACTGAAAACTTTGAAAACTTCGTTCAGTTTTATGTACATTTCGACCACTTTTTTGCACATTTTGGGCGGTATCTCATCTTTTCCGCATAAACACGATTTTTTCGTAGCACCCCCCAAAAAAAGTGCAATGGTGTCAAATCACACGATCTCAGTGACCAATTGACATCGCCAAGGCGAGGTATTACTAGGGCAGGAAATTTCTCTCGCAATGAAGTAAGAAAGCTACTGCTCTTGACGAATTCGAGGAATAGACAAATTCACTTGCAATAGCGACTGGCCTTGCGAGCATGGCTGTCGTAAGAGGAGACTAAAATCCAAAACTTCACGTGAAAGTCGGGTCTTTATACCGGAACGACCTGGATTTATATCCGGCCAAAGATCGTCGCTACCTTAACATACCCCAAATACTATTTTGGGAATATTTTTGCAGCTATAACAACTACAACAATTCAAAATAGCGATATTTGTAAGCGAGCAGAACATTGAAACACAAGAAAATAAAATTACTTATTTGTAATTCTTTTCAGAAACGAAAAAAAAATGAAAAGAAAGGAGCAGCTAATGCTACCTGTGAAGTAAAGGAATGCGGAATATTTTCAAAAATATAGCCTCAACAAGTTAGCTTGCACCTTTAAGTATCTAATAATGGAATTGTGGTTACCAGAAAATCTTACATTTTAGTTAAAAATATAAAAATAATGGTCAACAAACTTTACACGGTCTCAACAACAAGAACACCTTATGCTAGTAAACGAGGAAATTCTTCATTATGACAGTTTTGACTAGGTCATGCTTGCATATATGCATGTATATATATATATTATATACACATAACCATTTATTATTGCACTGTAGTTCACTAATGACAACACCTTGTGACTTGTGCTCATGGCCAGTCGTTAACCACGCACATGCCTTCCGTGCGTGTTGTCGCGCCAAATGGACTTGGAAACGACGTCACCAGCGACTCTACTGATTTCTTGCCTTATACGCACCGCTAAACCACTGGTCAAGTGGACTTAAGACTTTCATATCAGACAGTGTTGCCATGTCGTCTCCTTCCACTGCGAGTTGTTTGGGTTTGTCTCCTTTTTTCATACTGATAAAAGCTTCAATGTCGGCCAACCCATGCTAACCTGACAATATGACGGTCCAGTGATTCATAGGCTAAACAAAATGCTCGCTCACTAGCGTTACACACCCATTTCGGTTGTTGTTATTTGTGCGTGCTTGTATGTGGGTAAATATGTTGAAATTAAAGCGCCTTCTTTCCGCGTGTATTTATATAATATAATATAATACGTTTTGTATTTGTTTTTCTTTTATGATAATCGACAGTAATCACTCGACATGTGGCTCCACGTCGAAAGATAGCATTCAATGCAACCAAACAATATACACCAAGTGTGCTGTAGTCAGCAATCAATCCATTTGTTGTGACCGTTTCTAATCAAACATATATATATATATATATGTATCAATATATATGTATTTACATATCAACGCCATTTCCCATGCACTTATTCATTCGCATACACACTTACACACACACACACACACATTACGTGACACAGTGAGTGAGTGATCCATCAATTCATCCACATCTATCATCGAGCGGTGGGACGGTCAGACGGTCGGAGGGACAATTAGACGGTATGCATGCAAATGTTCGCCCTTTTGTCGCTTCGTGCGCGTAAAATTTTCTTATCAGCAATTTTGATATTTTTTACTTTGCTTGTAGTTATGTCTTCCCTACACATGGTGTTGGGTTGAGGTTGAGGTTTGTGGTAGCGGCGGTTTTGAGGGGCGGTTGTATTGAATTTCTGTTGTTTTGCTTTTTTCTTTGTTTTTAGTTTTGTTTTTCATATTCATTTATTCATTTTGTTGTTGATGTTGTTGTTGTTGTTATAATTAAGCTATTATTTTAAATATATTCCCTTAGCATACAGACCTTTAATATATTTATTTTTTTCATGTAAATATTCCAACAGTTGCTGTTGCCAGGTTCGCTAATTATAAAATTATTGTAAATTTTTAGTTGTTGGATTAATTAGTACAGTTGTAAATCTATTAGCTTATTTCACACGCGGCACAAATGATGCCCTAGTACCTGCATATATATATATATATGCATACACTTATGTATATGCATGTGTGAATATGCTCGGGTAGGGAAAATAGAATTTGAAAAATTTCGAAACCCAGTGCGAACAAATCTTTCTAGAATCCAATTACAAAATTATCTCTTTAAGTGGCCATACTAAAGAACAAAAAAACATAATTTGTATATACATAATTTATCACAAAACAAGGGAAATAAAAATTGCTTATAAAATAAAACAAAATAAAATAAAATAAAAAAAAATACAAAGAGAAAAAAAATAAACATAAGTAATATAAAATAAATTAAAAAAAAATAAAAAGAGAAAAAAATAAACTAAAATTAATAAAATAAAATAACGTAAAGTAAAAAAAAGGAAATTAAACTAAATGAAATAAAATAAAATCATACAAAAGAAAAAAGCAAATAATTTAACATGGAATAAAATAAACTTAACTTAAATTAAATGCATCTAAAAATAAAAATAGAACAATATAAAACAAAATCGTATATACTAGAATTAAATTAAAAAAAGTATATTTTGAATTAAACTAAAACTAATTAGAAAGAAATAATAAAATAAAATCAAATGAAGTAAAAAAATCAAATTAATTAAAACAAAAAAAAAATTAAGTAAAACTAAATAAAATAAAATTAATTAAGATAAAATAAACTAAAATGAAACATATGAAAAAAATGAAATGAAAAATTTAACTAAATTAATTAAAAAATTAAAATAACTAAACAAAATAAAATAAAATTAAGGAAAAGATAGAGTAGAATGAAAAAAAATAAACAAACCAAAATGAAATAAATAAAGATAAAATAAAAATTAACAAAACAAATAACAAAATAAAATGAAACCAAACAAAATAAAATAAACAAATAAATTAAATTGAAATAAATAATAAAAAGAGAAAAAATAAAAATGAAAATACAATAAAATAAAACCAAAGTGAGTCAAATGAAACGATATAAAAGAACGTAGTACAAAATAAATAAATAAAAAAATTAAATAAAATAAAACAAAATGAAATAAAGTAAGTAAAAAGGAAAATAGTATTGAAATGTAATAAAAAGTACGATTAAATAAAATAAAGTAAAATTAAGTAAAATAACACCAATTGAAATTAAATAAAATAAACTAGAACATAAAAAAAAGAAACATAATTAAAACAAATTTAAATACAGTAAAATTAACTAAAAAAAACAGACTAAAATAAAATAAAATGCAGAAAAATAAAATGTTTTGAAATAAAATAAATAAATGGAAAAAGTAAAACATAAATAAATTAAAATGAATAAAACAACACAAAATTAAATTAAATTAATTATATTTAAAAAAAAAATAAATAAACATAAAACAAAATAAAAAATAATATATTTCAAAATAGTTAAAATAAATTAAAACAATTAAAAATGAAAGGAATAAAATAAAAAGGAATAAAATATGTTAGAAAAATAAAAATAAAATAAAAAAATTAAATACAATAAAATAAAGTAAAATAAAATAAGCTAAATTTAAATGAAAAAAAAATAATTAAAATAAAATTTAATAAAATAAAGTAAAATAAAATAAGCTAAAATTAAATGAAAAAAATTAAATTGCAATAAAATTTTTCTCAAATAAAGTAAAATAAAATAAGCTAAAATTAAATGAAAAAATTAATATAAAATTTATTAAATAAAGTAAAAGAAAATAAGCTAAAACTGTATTAAATAATAAATTAAAAAATAGAAATAAAACAAAGTAAAAAAAATAAAATAATTTAAATTGAAAAAAAGGAAATTAAAATCAATTGAAATAACACGAAATAAAAAAATTAAAATTAAATTAAATACAATGAAATAAAAATAAATATAGTATGTAAAAATTAATAAATCTAAAATAAACATAATTGAAAATTTTAAAAGTAAAAATAATGAAAAATGTAATAATTCAAATTAATGCATTAATGCATTGGTAAACAAATATATCAAAAATAGCTTGGTACACTTTTCGGGCTTACGATTTTTTATTTCAATCAATTAAGCGCATTTTTGGAAAAATTATTCTATTAAATATTGGTATACAATACATCGAAAAATTAATTTATTGATAAGCTTGGAAAAAAGTATTTACTGCATTTTGCAAGAAAAATTTTTTTTTTTAATTTTGGTCAATATTAGAAAGTTTATTCAACTAAAATCTTGCGTACTGGGTCAGCAACAATAACTATTCCCTTATCGCTTTCTATGATTTTTACAAATCGACTATAATGCAGTATATATACATATTATTTATTATTTGTTTATATTTTCTATATAATATGTGAAAATTTATTTCTTAAAATACAAGTAATAGTAAATTTTCATAGTATTGTTGGCTTTTTATATATAAAATGCATTAGCTAATGACTATATGTATGCTTGTAAGCTGTCAACCCATTTATTTGCTCTTCTGCCATATGTTTGCACTTTTCGTTATAGACCTAATCTAGATAATACCAGTTTTAAGATTATTTGATCAGTTTATCTATATAATTTCATATTTTAACACATCATATACTCAATTAGTTTAAAGTCATTACTTAGTAGAATTGTTGATAATGTCTTTTATTGCATTTTACCGTGAGAGATAAAATAATTTCAAGCGGAGTTGTTTCTTGTAATTATGAAAATATTTGTACACATATGGCGGGAGTAAATTTTCAAGATATAAATTTAGTTAAGTTATATATATATTTTCAAATTTCTTTAATGATGCATAATAACCTTCATTTGTCTGTTGCTCAAACATTGATAAACAATGCCTCACCATATACTAATATTGATATTAGAAATTTTTACCTATACGCTTTTATTAATTTCTTTTAGTTTTATTGTATTTACTCAAATACTTACCCCAATTTTTGGGTGTGCGTCCAAAATAGGTGCCATCCTTGCTATTATAGATTATTTCCATGCAGGTTTGCTTCTCTTTGGGTTGTGGGAATTGAAATTCCGTAACGGCATTACCATTCTTCTTTGTAGACATTTTCGCGCGTTGTACGAGTTTACTTAACTAGTAATTTAATACTATTAAAACTTGGTTTGTTTTTGTTGTTACCTAGTGATACAATATTTATATATATATTTTTTTTTGTAGAAAAGGACATATTAGTAATTGTTGACACAAAAATGTCCAATGCAAAAAATATGAAAATTTAACTAGAATGGAGTGTGCTTAATATATTTTATTAAAGCATGATTTGATTTGAGAATATTTATAATAAGAATATTTTGCTTTTTTTTGCTTTAAATAAGTTCTAAGAAAGTAAATAGTTTAGTTAAAAAAAGTTTTCTTTTAAATTTGCTTGCTTTAAAAAAAAAATGAATAAAAAATTCATAGTAATTTTTCCATTAGCTTAGTATTTTAATAAATGGCATTTCGCTAAATTTTTTCTAATACTGTTCTTCATAAGTTTGGTAAAATTTTTTCATACTTTTTAAATTAACATTTTGCTTTTAAACATTCTTTTGTCATTTCAACAAATATTTATCATAAATGTAATATTAACTTTCAATCAAATTTATACACATTCAGTATTTTTTTTTTAAACCAATTCCAATTTTCTTTCACACAAAGTTTTTATGCATTCACAATTAAAAGTCTAATCTAATTTAAATCACAGCTTTTCTATCACTAATTTTAATACTTTATTAATTTTGTTTCAACTCTGAAATCTAATATCATTTCAAATTAAATGTTTTTATATTTTTAAACTTTCTTAAGATTTTTCCCGAATTGTTATTAAAAAAATCTGAGCCCTTTTTCCCTTTTCTTTAACATTTTTCGTTCTTAAACCAGTGTTTTTTTTTGTTTTTAGTTTTTTTCGGCCAATTCACTGTTGTGCACTAATATTTCACATTAAATTTTCGCAATATTCAATATCAAAGTTTTCTTCTTCGCATTTTATCTATTTTTACACTTCTCACATTCATAGATTTGCATTCTTACTTCATCTAAATATTCATGTAAATATTTAAACAAAATAAAAGTTGAAAATGTTATAGAAAGAACCATAAACCAGAAGCACATAAAAGCACCCAAAAAAAAATATATATTATATACACAAACAAATAGAAATAAGGAAAGAAGAACAAAAAAAAAATTATATATCGACAGCGGACACCTCTTTTGCGCTTTTACAAAATCAAAACTAAGCAAAATATTTCCTTGCCTTATTTTCTTTCAAATAAAGAAAAATCCAAATTTTATATAACAATTTCACAAATATCAGAACTTATTTTTAGCTAGAATAATTACTTTTCTATTTAACAGCGTTTATACTGAATTGAAAAATCAAATTTGTATTTTTTGTTTCCGTAAAAAATACAAATACGATTTAGTTGTTGGTTTCTTATTTGTAGCTGCTGTTAGTGTTGAAATATTTCAGTTCGTTGTATATATATTTTTTTTATTTCTAATATTTATATTGTCTGCGAGTTCTCGCGTTTTTCGAGCTACCACGCGTACACGTCTAACACGAACCGAGAAAGATCACTGACTGAACAATTCGTCGACGACTGCTATGTGTTTTCGTACAGCACAGCAAAATCGTATTGAAGAATCTTGTTCAACTTAACGCAACTCAACGCTACTCAGTGCGACTCCAAGCGTCTCGGCTGCACTCTTCCGCCTTGTGGTTATTTGGTTTCTGACTGTATGTGCGCCGATGTCTAAGTAATTCATATACGCTTTGTTTTTGTTTTGGGATTAAGACTCTCTATAATTCACTGCTCTAGAAGCAATAATAACCCTATAGAATTGTCGACCTGAAGGGAATTTCTACTAAACACTTCCAATGAGACGCGATAACTGACTGCGCGTTGATTTACTAAATACCTGCTACATTCAATGTGCTGCATAACATAATAATGACGATTGCCCGTCTGTGCGACCTGTTGTTCGTTAAAGCAGACAATAGCAAAACAGGATAGAGACCAGAAACTCTATTGTTTTGTCGCCTCGCGTCGCCTCGACGGCGGCGGTGGCTAATTTATTTTATCGGTGGCAGCATAACAGCCCACACAATAACAGCTGTATGTAGCGTCGACTGCGACAATGGCAGCGAAAGCAACAGCTGCTAATACTTGGGTCGGCTGCGCACAGTACTGCTAATAGCCGTACGCTGTGTAGACTCAACAACACTGCAATGACTTGTTGGTGAATATTTTGCTGACGCTCCTTCTTCTGCAGCTTGCGCTCTGTACAACAATTGCCAGAGGGAAAGCATTTTTTGAGCATACTCCCTGTTAAAAGCCTGGCAGAGCAACACGTTTTCTACTCAATGGCTTCTTTGGGGCTATGGGGTCGTACAGTGGGATGTTTGGTGTAAATAAACTCGATTTAATATATTTTTCAATTTACTCATGAGCCTTTTTTATTTAATAATTTTATTGACCGGAGTAGGGTTGATCACTCAATCGCATCGTTTGGTGTGTTTCCTTTCAAAGATTGGTGGATAAAATCTGTTAACACAGCCGTATAAGTCTTATGGATATACCAAATTCAGATAAAGTCCATGGCGCATGTAAATCGTTTTTGTGCTGTACGAGGCTGCTTTAAAATCAACGAAGAGGAATATGTGCACACGCTGAATATTTGGACGACTGTAAATTTTCGAGGTCTAAGACAACATTAATAAGATCCAATCAATTTGTGGACGATGGGACTTAAATTTTCACATGGTACACCAGAGAACTTAAAATAATATTATTTATTATTTATTTTAAGTTCTCTGGTACACTCGATAAAATTTTATATGCGATATTAAGAAAGCTTATTCCACTGTGATTGGCGCAGCTGATGCACCTCATCAGTTCTTTACTGTCAATTTGCGCTTTGCGGTTATTGATAATCCAATTTATTTCAATTTTTAGTTCATTGGGAAAATCGTTACGGAGATGAACTCTTTGAAACATGAACGTTTCAATAACAGTTTTAATCTCACTTAAAACTCAGAACGTTAGTTTTTAATTTATTTACATATGGAAATTTCACAAAAAAGAAAAAAAAATCGGTAAAGAGAATTGTATCATTTTATTTTGTTTTATTTTAGTTCGTGAAAATCTAAGATTTAATTTAATTCTGTATGTTATAGCCAATTTCATTTTATTAATATTTTAATCACGATTTTATAAAACATATTCTTATATTAAATATGATTAATCTTATATTTAAATCTCTTTACTGAATAATTTAACTAATTTGATTATATTTTATTTATATTATTTGTATTTATTTTGTACACTGTATTTATGTATCTAATTATCACACCGTATCTCTTCCCTACTAACTACAGGTTACGGCCGTCGGCGTTGTCAAACTCTGCCACGCCACGCAGTCGACATCGGTCGACGACGTCTCTCGCCTACCAATTTGCTGTGTACGCTGAGCATTGAGTTGATTTGTTAGAAGAATGTTTGAGCATTTCTCCCTTGCTCCAAGTTTCTGTGCTGCGCGTATGTTACGGAGCCGATGTTAGAGTAAAGATGTTAATGTTAATGAAGAAATGAGATAAGTAGAATAATTGGAAGTTATCCAAATCTAAAAGTTTTTTCTTCTAATTTGCATTTTTTCATCTTTTTTTAGTTAAAATAAAATTGAGTTGAGTTAAAACAACTCTTAGCTTAATCCTGCATACTATATATTTACATATTAACATGATTGCAAATTATTATTTACTTCATTCACAGTTCACTTTCATATCTGAAAATTCATTTATATACTCGTATTCGCACGTCGCAATGAGATTGATTACAAATTTTATGCATCATTGCATAGGAGCTTGGAAGTATTTGGGGAATCGGTAAGGGCGGACACCCACATTTCATGCATTTTTAGTTGCAATTTGAGTTCATTTCAATGCCAGAGTTGCCAAATCAATTTATTTTTGCATTATCTTAGTTTCGATAACTTTTTTATTCATGTCCGAAATATGTATAATCACTAAAAAGTGTACGGCTACGACTGTTCTATCGGGAGCTAATTAATAGTTTTGTGGAGTTTTCCTACCAAATGGTGATGGTGATTTCGAATATAGGTAAGTATAAATCCTAAATCTTCCAGTAAGTACAATCACTAGATCACCTCTTTGGGTCCTACAAGTCTAGCTTCTTAATGAGCCTTGCCTCCCTGTTCAGCTCTCGTTATCTATCCCACCGCTCGTGTTTTCTCTCCTGTGTAGTTAGATATTCCTCATCGCACCAGGTATTTCTGGCACTGCGGAAAACCAATTCTTTTCGTAGCAGCAGTAAGTAGGAAGTACGAGATGCCGTTCCACTGTCCGCTTTTGTCTTCGCTGCGATAAGGCTGTGATAAGAGTCTATGTTAGGAGATCGTGAACGCTGGATTCATGTCGTCCGCTTATCACAACATGATCGGAACGGTTGCAAGTTTGTCGATATAGAGACAGCCCGGTATCTTGATGAAATTTCCGTCCATCGGACTTCTTGGTGGGCGGTGATGTTCGCCTTCAATCTTTCAAGAACAGCAACCAGCTGGACAACCGCAATTAACCTCAACCTCACAGGGATTCGTCTTCTCACTTTAGCTTGCCTTCTACTACTACTACCAGAGACTACTTGGTGGAAGACCGGAAGTCGGGATCTTCTGAAATGACAGTCAAAAACTTTTGTCCATAGCAAGTACTTCTACGCATTGGGATACACGGGGGAGCACAATCAGGTATGATAATTGTTATTGCCTATTGCCAGGGAATGTTACAACCTCGGAGTGGACAACCATTGCAAAATAAAAAACTTAGTTTATAGGAAAATTTTCAGATGTGTGGGTCACGGAGATACGATCTAGTGACTGATGCCCGGAGTACACTGAATTTTTGGAGAGTAGTGAAAATACGTCGCCCAAGAATCTGTAAGATGCATGCATGAGCTCCTAAGCAGAATATGGTTGAACGAAAGTGCTTCCGACCATTAGAATATATTTACATAAGTGTGCTCTTTCCATTTGAAATGTCCTAATTACAGTGAGATAAGCCTTCTGAATATCGCTTATAAGCTGCTATCGAGCGCATTGTGTGAGAGACCAAAGTCCCCCGTAAGCAAACTGATTGGACCCTATCAGTATGGCTTTAGACCTGGTAAATCGACCACTGAGCAGATATTTCATCTACCTCCTTGAAAAGAGGATCGACGCACACCACTTCTTCGTCGATTTTACTCCCGAAAAGGCGCAGCATCAGTCAATGGAACGATGAACTGTACGGTATATATGGCAATATTGACATACTTCAGCAAATTAAGAGACATCGACTAAGCTGGCTAGATCGATACTGTACCTACCAGTGAAAGCAGAGGAAGAGGAAGAGGAAGATCTCTTCTTCGTATTTCCATTTGGCACCAAACACCGAAAGGATGGAATGAATGTTAAGATCTTGTTAGTTCGGCTATAATCGCGTAGGCGGTGTTCAAGACACGAATGAAGAAGAAGGACGGCTCTGAGATATATTTGTGTTTTTATATTTATTTTTAAACCTGATTGAAAATCATATGTGGATTTTATCTCCAAAGTAAAGAGAGTGACTAGAGTTGTTGATGTCTACATATTTGAGAAACTTGAATCAAGCGTGTGGAGACTTTATTGGAGAAAAGGGCCCATATTGAGTTAAGCCCTAGCATTGAACAAAATTAAAGAACGTTCAAGTAGGGCGACACTCAAGCCAACATTTTTCTATGAGAATTATTCAACAATGACTCATCCACATTTGCTGCAAATTCTTTTTGATTTTTCTTTTTTTTTTTTGCAAATATCTAATCTCAGCAAAACACAGACATTTTTTCTTCTTAGCTTTCACTTTCGAAACAGTAAACTAATTTGTTGAATTAATACTTCCGATGACTGAGAGTGTGCGTAGTGACAATCTTGAATTTTCTTAATGCACAACAGCATTAACGCTGATCGTATCAAGCCAGAGTACAAGTAGTCAGCTAGCGCTGGTTATTAACTGCTCTGAACTTGGAGAGCGTCATCATAAAGTCCTCTTGCCTCCCACATTGATCTCGTCTTCTACAATACATGAGTACATACTCGTAGTTTGGTGTTATCTCATATTACAAATTAGAGTAATAATTTTATAGACTCCACTGATGATCTTTGTAGAATGCTCGGCGGTCTGTCAAATCACATAAAATAAAATACATACATACGAATATGCGTATATATTTATGTATTAGTAAATATGTTTCTTTACGGTGGTTCATGCTCCCTTTTGCGGAATTTTTTACAATAATTTTAATTTAATTTTCAAAGTTGATTAAATTACGCACAAAATCACATGAATGTACTCCAACTCAATTGAGTGTATGTGTATGTAAATAAATGCAGCCTCATATAATATTTGTAGATATCTTTTGTGCGGCTAGCACTTACGTATGGAAGTGCTTGCAGCGACTTGATGAATCAGAATCAAAAAACCACAACAAAACCGTAAAAAGATTCGTAGACGAAAGCAAAACTAAAAAAAAAAAAAGTATTTTACGAAGTAATTATGTGAATGCAAGGTATTGACAGCTGGAAGTAGGAACGGCGAAAAATTACCAGCGACCGAGCAACGGCTATGTACTTCTGAACGTCTTGAAAAGCGTGCTTAGACTACCGGCAGCTCTAGGACACAGTGTGCCGTTTTGGCACCACAGTAAGCAACCGAAGATTATGTGTAGCGGCGGCCAGTCCCTTTAACTACCCCACAACATATGACAGACGACCATGAGGGTGTATATCGGGTGAGCATCAGACTCTGATGAAGGATGTTATC